TATTTAATAGTAATAAAGCTATTCAGGCTGTCTATTTCATCTTGGCTACGTTTTATAGTTTTGACCATTTCTTCTGAGTTGTTGAATTTATAAACATAAAATTATTTGTAGTATTCCATTTGTACCCATATAATGGCTGCAGAACCTATTGTTATATTCACTTTCCCAATCATGCTATTGATCATGCATGTCTTCTTTCCTGTCTTTGTCAATCTTGCTAGAATTTTATTGATCTTTTCAAAGAAGTGGGTTTTCACTTAATTTTGTCTGTTTTCCAGTTTTGTTGTTTTCTACTCTTACGTTTGCTATGTTTTTTATTCTACTTTCTTTGGGTATAATTTTCTCTTCTAAGTTCATGAGATGAGACCTTACATAAATGACTTGAAACTTTCCATTTTTTTTCCTAACATAAGCATTTAATGCTATAAATTTCCCCCTTATCACTTCTTTCTTAACAATTTTATTTCATCTTTTTAGATATACATGACAGTAAAGTATATTTTGACACTATCTCTTCTTTAGCTATATCTCACAAGTTTTTTTTTTTTTAGAGAATTTTTTAACATTTATTTTTTAGTTTTTTGGTGGGCACATCTTTGTTTGTATGTGGTGCTGAGGATCGAACCTGGGTCGCACGCATGCCAGGCGACCACGCTACCGCTTGAGCCACATCCCCAGCCCCAGCCACATCCCCAGCCCCAACAAGTTTTGACATGTTGTGTTTTCATTTTCATTCAGTGATATATGCAATTTCTAAATTCCTTTGCGACTTCCTCTTTGACCCATGAATTATTTAGAAATATGTTGATTAATTTCAGGGTGTTTGAAAATTTTTCTGTTATTGATTTTTAGTTAGATTCCATTCTGATCAGAGAACATAATCTTTTTAGTTTGTTAAGTGCATAATGCATTTTCTGTTACTATAACAAAATATCTGAGGCTGATTAATTTATGAAGTAAAGAAGCATGTTTGGACCATAAATATGGTGGCTGGAGGGTCCAAATAGCACAGATCTCACATCTTTTTGAGGTCCCCCTGGCTGTCTCACAACATGGGAAAGAAGCAGAGGGAATGCACACATGCAGAAGTCATACATGTGGGGTGGCCTGGCTTTGTAGCAATCTATTCTTGAGAGAGCTAATCCACTCCTATGAGATATGCCCCACTCCTATGAGATGTGCCCCACTCCCACAAGACAGCATTAACTTATTCATGAGGGTAAAGCCCCCTTGACCTAGTCACTTTTCACTATGCCATACCTCTTAAAGATTCCATCACCTTAATACCAGTATCCTAGGGATAACTTTGGGAGATGAACAATGGCATTAAGGTTTATGGTGCAGGATATGGTCTGTCTTGGTAAATGTGTCTTGGGCATTTGAAAATCATAGATATTCTGCTCTTGTTAGGTGGAATATTCTATGAATGTCAATTAGATCCTACTGGTGATGGTTTTATGTTTTTCTTTTCTTTTTGGTACTGGGGATCGAACCCAGGGGTGCTTTACCCCTGAGCCCTATCCCCAGCCCTTTCGTATCTTTTATTTTGAGACAGGGTCTCACTAAATTGCTTAGGGCTTCTCTAAGTTGCTGAAGCTGGCCTTGAACTTGTGATCTTTCTGCCTCTGCCTCCCCAGTTACTGGGATTACAGACATGCAATACCACACCCAGCCTGGTTTTGTTTATTTCTTATAGAGTATATCCTTTTTGGTATTTTTGTCTAGTAATAAAGTGAATTACTGAGGTTGGAGCACTGAAGTCTTCAACCACAATTATGGATTTGTCAGCTGCTTATTTCATCTTTATCAGTTTTTGCTTCTTGTATTTTAAGCATCTGTTGTTGGATGGCACACATTAAGAATTGCTAGAAAAAAAAGAATTGCTAGATCTTCTTGATAAGGATGGTATTGATCCTTTTACCATTAAGTACTATCCTTCTTTGTACATAATAATTTTCTGTGCTCTCAAGTCCACTTTATCTGATATTAATGTAACCACTCCTGCATTTTAAAAATCAATGCCTGCATGATGTATTTTTCTCCATCCATTTACTTCCAACCTGACTAATGTCATTGTGTTTGAAGTTCCTTGTAAAAGCCATATACTTGGGTTATGTTTTTTTTACATTCTCTGACAATCTTTGCCTGTAATGTGTGAATCTAGAGCAGTTGTTTCAAAGTTTTTATTATGTGAGAGCTCAAGTCTACCATTTTATTATTTGTCTTCTGCTTGTTACTCTGATTCTCATCCCTTTATTTCTTTTTTTCCTTGCCTTTCTGTGGGGCTATTTGAACACCTTTATATCCGTTTAGATTTCCTTATGACATCTTTCTTTTTAGTATATTCCTTTGAGTAGTTTTCTTAGCGGTGGCCCTAGGTATCGTCATATACATTTCTAACCTATCAGAGCCTACTGGTGTCCACACTGGATCACCGTACTATCCTCACGTTTTAAGCATACTTGTATTAAGTGTTTTCCATCCTATACGTTGAACCCATTCGATGGTATTATACCTTCGGCTTCAATCACAAAATATGATTAAAGAAACTCCTGAGGTAAAGGAGAGTCTATCATATTTGCTTCCAATTTTGCCTGTTCAATTGTCTTTTCTTTCATTTCTGACGTTCACCTCCTTCTTCTGTTATCATTGTCTTTCTTCTTGGAGAGCCTCCTCTAAGGATACATCTGTGAGCAACAAGCACTCCAGGGTCTGAGAATGACTTTATTTCCCCTTCATTTTTGAAGGCTGAGGGATTCACAGTCAGCAGTTCTTTTCTTTCAGCACTTGGAAAATATTGTACCACTTCCTCCTGGCCTCCATGGTTTCAGACAAGAAATCTGTTGTCATTTGAATTAGTGTTCTTTATAGGTAACACATTGTTTCTTACTGGCTACTTTTAAGATCTTTTTTCCCCTTGTATTTAGTTTTCAGAAGTTTGATTTAGATGATACATCTTGATGTGGTTTAAAATTTTTTTTCTTTTTTTCATATTTCCTATTTCTTTCTTGTTTTTGAGGCTCACCCTCTTTCTTCTCCCCTTCTGAGACTCCAAATATCTGAATGTTATCTCTTGTTAGCATTCAAGAGAACACTCCAGCTCTATTTTCAGGCTATTCTTTCTGTTGTTCAGACTGTGGAAATTCTATCACTCTGTCTTCAAATTAATTGCTTCCATTCTCTGTTGTCTCTATTCTACTTTTGGATCATATAACAATTTTTTAATATTTCAGTTATATTTTTCAGTTTTATAATTTCTATTTTTTTTTGCTAAATTTTTTTTTATTTGCTTCAAGAGAATTTGTGTCTGGTGAAGCATTTTGGTATTGTTGAAAATTATCAGGTAATTCCAACATTGGATTCATGTAAGTACTGGAATCAATTTTCTTTTCTCATTGAAATTGTGATTATCTGATATGATTATGAGTGATTTCAGTTTGATCCTGGATATTTTGATTGCCATGTTAGGACCCTTTTGATTCTATTTAAATCTGTTTCAGCAAGCAGTTGCTCTGTACAGGTTTAGTATATAGTTTCTGACATATACTTGTAGGTATGAGTCCCAGTGACAGTTTGGTTATCAGAATATTTTTAGTGTGGCTCTGGACTGGCTTATTCTATAGAACTGCTGGGGTGACTGCTTGGTCTCTTGGTGACATCTATTTGATGCCTATTGCACTTCCCTGGTGTTTGCCTGATGTTTGTGAACCACCTTCTCTTGATGAAGGGTTGGTAGCAGGGTTGGGTACAGAAGCTGCTTGGACGGGGTCTTTTTATGCCACTAGATGAAGGGCAAATAAGCACAGAGCTAAAATGGTGCTGTCCCTGCGGGTGGACCAGCCTGACAATTCCTTCTTTGACAGCTGCAACATGTGGATCAGCCCATCTGCCAGGGCTTCTGCTGTAGAGGGAGAATGGGGCTCTCCACGTCTCTTCTGAGCTTTTACTTGACTGTTGCCCACTTCTCAGAAAGAGCAGATTTTTCTTTTCTTTTTCGAGTATGTGTGTGTGTGTGTGTGTGTGTGTGTGTGTGAGTGGAGATTGAAGCCAGGGACACTTTACCTCTGAGCCATATCCCCAGCCATTTTTTTTTTATTTTGAGATAAGGTCTTGCTAAATTGCTCAGGATAGACTTGAACTTGCAATCCTCCTATCTCAGCTTCCTGAAGCACTAGAATTACAGGCATGTGCCACTGTGTCCATCAACATGGGAGATAAAAAAGGAACCTCAGAGAACTTACAACATTTCTCAAATCCTGAGGTCCAACTTGAGTCTTTTAATCTTTGTCTGTTAAACAATTTCCAGGGTATTTAGTTGTAGTGAGAGGAAGTCATTTTGTATTGCTGTTATTGGTTTTGGTGGTTCTAGAGATTGAACTCAGGGCCTCATCCATGCTAGGCAAGCACTCTACACTGGGCTACATCCCAGCCCCAAAGGCCAATTACCTCTTCTTCATTCCACTGATAAGGGAAGGATTCTTGTCCAAGGGTTGTGGGATGGTGGATACATGATTGTTGAACCTGGACAGATGAGATAAACAGGATTTTAAATAGTTGCATATTTTCATAGCCTGGGGCAGGAGGACACCACGTGCCACATAGGTTCCCATGGGAGTTGCACATGGAACTAAATGGACAGCAGGGGCTGTGGGAGAAGGCTTTGTAGTATCAGAGAGAGGATGCTCCCTGGTCCCCAAGGGAAGAAGTAATTGAACCTGTTTCATGATTCCATGGACTGGCAAAACCCAATACTCAGGGATAAAGAGGAGCTACTCCTGGCCCCCATAAGGAGGAGGGTTATTTGGCTAGAGAACCTTATAAGTGGGAGCAGAATGAGGAGGGGAACTTACACTTAGGCCATTCAAGGCCCTCCTGATTTTGCCAGGTGCAAAATAGCTAATAATAGGCCGGAGAGCACAGGGAGTTGTAAGAAAAAGTACCGTCTTATTCTGGAACCAGAAGTCAGGTTTTATTTTTTAACATTCATGAGAACTTTGCATTCTGATCCACATTTGTTTTGAATAGACCTGCTCTTCTTCACATCTTCTGTTAAAATTACGATCACCTTCTTGGACCAACAGCATAAATCCTGAGCATCCTGTACACAGCTCGAGATGATTTAGAAAGTGCAATTTAAATTATGTTCCCTTTGATACATATGTATATCAACTGAAAAGTACTATATTACAGATAACTTGAAAAATGGGGAAAAGGAAAGAAACTTCATCATTTCAACTTACAAGAATAGCAATTAGAATTTTAGTATTTTAGTATGATTCCCACAGTCTTAATTTCCTTGTAAAATCTTTAAATGGAAAAGTGTGGAGAAGGGGATTTGGAGAGAAGATTGTTAATGGGTACAGGGGTGTAGCTGGGTAAGAGGAGAGGCTTCTAATGTTCTACAGCACAGGAGGAGAGCTATGGTTGACAATAATTGTATATTTCAAAATAGTGAGCCAAGAAGATTTTGAATGTTCCCTACATAGAAATTATAAACATCTGAGTTGATGGACATGCCAATGACCCTGATATGATCATTATACATTATAACATGTATTGAAATATCACACTGTAGCCCACAAATATGTACAATTACTATGTGTCAATTAAAAAATAAAATTAAAAAAACATTGCTTTTGGTACTGGTGATTAAACCCAGGGCCTCTATCATGCTAAATGTGTACTCTACCACTGAGCTACTCCCCTAGCCCCTACATTTATTTTATTAACAAAATGTAGCTGTATACAATGTATATGATTTGTTAACCTGTTCTTTATGTTTGATGTTTTTTAAAATATATTTTTAATTGTAGATGGACATAATACCTTTATTTATTCATTTTTTTTGTGGTGCTGAGGATCGAACCCAGTTCCTCACGTGTGCCAGGCAAGTGCTCTACCACTGAGCCACAACCCCAGCCCTGTGTTTGATGTTTTGTTAAAGTTCTTCTTCCTCTTTCTCTCTTAAACAATTCAGATTTTATTAGGTGGGACTGAGCAGGGGAGGTAGAGACAGTGGTCCAGGATGGTTTGCAAGCTGAGAGGTGAGGAGGACACCTTTCCAGGAGATCAGCTCTGTGCAGGATGAGGGTTTGGTGGCCTCTGAATAGTGCTGTGAGGGAGTCCATGAGTCAGAGCTGGAGCAGGATGAGGAAGGTGTTTGAGTCTTCGATGACATGGGGAGGGCAGCAACAGGCTATTTTAAGGATATGAGAGCCATATTTCTTCTCACTGTTGGAGAGACACGAATAGGAAAAAGGAGAACATTGGGCTGAAATGTGTGGTGTTAGGTTTGTATTGGCCACAATTCATGATTTTCTAAAAGCATAGCAGTATAGAAACAAATATGCATAAAATCATGTGGATATACACACACTTATATTCCCTAGTGGTTTCCAGTGAGGGGATCTGGGAGAATTGACACCCCAACAGCAATGAGCACACCTAGTTCCTTCTCTTGGTTTCTAAATACTGTTCTCCAGCAAGAGGAACCAGAGTTTTTTGTAGGAGGGGCTGACAGGATGGGGCAGGATGGGGGGGGAATAAAATGAGTCCGAAACAGCTTGTGGCAGGAAGGAAATACTTAAAAAAAAAAAAAAAAAAGATGGACACATATTAAGAGAAGAAAGCCAACAATAAAAGGGATCCCACTGGCCAACTGGGGTGACGGAAGTACCAAAGTAAATAATGAAAATAGCAGTTTACAACCCATTGGGAATAACAGAAATTAATGAATAAGGATTCACTGATGTCAACAGACAAGTGAATAAATGGGAAATTTGATGAGGAATGGGGTATTTACATAGCTTCAAAGTAACCACCACCATATACTTATTAATTACTAAGAAGAAAGAAGTAAGTTTATGGAGAAGGCTGGTGCAGAGTATCTTAATCTAGTGATCAAAGTGAATATCACATGTGGATTAGCTACCTTTCCATCACTATAACAGAATATCTGACACAGACTACTTGCGACAAAAAAGAGGTTTATGTAGCTCATAGTTTTGGAGGCTGAAAGTTCAAATGACGTAGCACAGGTACTTCCCCTTGGCTGCATCACTTTATGATACATCTGGCAATGACAAGACTGCATGAAGGAACAAATGATTATATCCTGAATCAGGAGAAGAGGGAGATTGGATGGGGCCAGGCTTGCCTTCTCAGGAGAACCCAAGAGTTCCCAAAGAGCTGCCTAAACCCTCCTGGGTCATGCCCCCAATGACCCAAGGTCCTTACACTAGGCCTTGCCTCTGAAAAATTCCATCTCCCCCAGTACTGCCATCCTGAAAACCAAGTCTTCAACCACATGAACATCTGGGAGGACACAATTAAAACATAGTCAAACCAAAGTAATCAGTTACAGGACAAATAGAAACCATGCGTCACCTGACAGGACATAGTTAAAAAAAAAAAGTTCATTTAAGAGGTGATTCTTGCAGGTATATGGGGAGAAACAGAGGAATGAAGGAAACATGTCCACAAGGGTGTTACCATGTGGGCAACTGGAGCTCAGCCCCACTGGGGATGTCTGAGAAATTGCCTTGAGTGTGTCTTGCAATTGTCAAATGCAAGAGGCAAAACACTGGGTATCTATTCACCAACTCCATATTGACTGACAGCTACTCCCAGTGCCATTAACTCCTTGGCCTGCCCCATGTGCAGGGGTCTGTGACACCTGCTCAAAAAAGACTCTCAGACCAGGAGTTGCAGGGACACTAGGAAGCCATGGGGTCTGCGGCTGTCTGAAGGGGAATGTTGAAGGACAAGTGGGGGCGCTGGCAGCATCTTCTTCAAAGGCCTTCTATTATCTGACTTCCCCTAGCCCAGGCACCCCTGTGACCTCATCTCTGTCACTCCCTCACTCCTCGTTCACTCCAGCCATATAAACCTGCTTCACACTGTCTCTCAAACATATCATGGGTGCTTTTACCTGAGGGCTGATACCTCTGCCCCAAATGCTCTTCCAGGCACCTGCATGCCTCCTGACTCACCTTCTTTGGGGCTTTATCTGTTACTAGGAGGCCTTCTTGGTAAGACGATGGTAACCTCCAATTTGGACAATCCAAGGAGATTTTAATAACATACTATTTACAAAGGTGTGGGCAGAAGGGTTAATGAGTGCCCATCAGGGCTAGTACATCCAGCCAGAGTTACCATTCTGAGGCCTAAAGGGGTGAAGAAAGAGAGGAGTTCTCAGAGCCAGGTGCGCTGTGCAGGTAAAAGCCTCCTATAGGGGCTGAGGCCTTGGGGAGGGGGATGAAAGAGGCTAACCTCACTTTCCTTCTACACTTCAGTCTTCTAAAGGTGCTTCCCATCAGCCATATCCAACAGGAAGCCAGAGGATAAGGGAGCCCCTTCATGCTGCTTCTGAAGTCAGCTCCAGGCACAGAGCTGGGCACAAGGGTATATGTCCAGCACACAGTCCAAAATAACAATTTACACGTACTTCTTCCCTGCTTTATTTTTCATTTTAGCACTTGTTACCACCTAGGCCAGATATTTTACTCATTTCTTTAGTGTATTTTCCATCTCCCTCAATAAGGTATAAGCTGTACATGGTCAGAAATTTTTTTTTTAATCCCAGCAGTGCCTAGACTAGTGCTTGAAACACAAATATATTCAATCAAGATTTTTTCAGTAAAGTTGCTACCACACAGAAAAATTCCCCCATCTATGCCCTTTTTATCCTAAACCTGGGAATCTGTGAACATATTAGGTTATGTGGCACAGGGGAATTAAGATTGCAAATGGAATTAAGGTTTATCAGTTGACCTTATGATAGGAAGATCATCCTATTATCCAAGTGAGCCCAATGTAATGATGAGTCCAGAAGAGACAAACCAGAGATGCCACACTGCTGGCTTTGAGGCTGGAAGAAGGGACCACAAGCCAAGGAATAGAGGCAGCCTCTCGAAGCTGGAAACAGAAGACAGATTTTCCCCTGGGGTCACCAGAAAGGAACACAGCTCTGTTAACACTGATTTTAGTCCTGTGAGACCCCTTTCAGACTGCTAACCTATAGACATGTAAGATGAAAAATGTATTGTCTCAAATTTAGAGTTGTTTTAAGCCACTGAGTCTGTGGTTATTTGTCACAGCCACATAAAAAACCCATGCACTGGCCTTTGTTTTGAATGGCAGGAGCATAAGCTCTGGAGCCTGTTGGGGCTGTTCTTCTGCCCCTCCTTTGGGAGGGAATTTACACCTTCCTTTTCTGTGTAAGAGAATATTAATTGCTCTTTCCCCATGGGTGGGGAGGGGTTGGAGATCGGTATAAGGACTTGATGACTTGATATATGTGACACACATGGCTCAGAGCCTAGTCCCCAGCAAGCCCTCTTTTGAGCCACAGGTCTTACAAGTGCCAGTAGATTGTAGACATTCAAGAAATATTTATGGAAAGGTAAATATATGTTGTCAAATGATGCTCCATAATGGACTTCATCTTTCCTGGGACACTGCCCCCTGCCTTTTTGGGTCTAGTGAAAATAAAATTTGAGAATCTCTTTATGCATACAAGTTGTTTTTTTTTTTTTTAAATTTTCTTTCTTTCTTTCAATTAGTCTTCTATTTCTTCAAAACAAGAGTGCAGGGGTCTACAAGGCCAGTGCTCACCACACAAGTGACATCATCAGCTCCTGGACTTTGCCCACGCTGAGCTGCCCATGTGACAGCTGGAAGGCCAAGAGTGAAGCCAAAGGAGAGGCTGTGTCTGGAGGTGGCTTGATGAATTCCCTTCCTGGGCTGGGCTTTCACAAGGTTTCTCCAGCAGGGCCTGGGAACTTGGGGAGGCCTAAGGGAGGGAGAGTGAGTGGTGATTGCTGGAAACTTCTCCCTGATGCAAGATTAGTGTTGAGGCCAGTCCAGCAGCTCCAGGCGGTGCCGGCCAGGGTGAGCACATCCAAACCACCCTCCCGCCTGGTGCACGTCCAGGATCAGCACTCCCCAGGAGGTGCACACCCACCACCTGTGTGGGGAGGCGGGGCTTCCCCCAGACATCTGGGGAAGTGGGAGAGCCAGGGCCCTGAAAGGCAGGGGACAGAGGAAGCCAGAGAGCCAGTTTCAGACTCTGCAGTGCCAGAGCACTCTGGAGGCGGTATGCGTTTGCCCACTCGGTGCTGCTCACAGCTGGTGCCCTCAACCCCCCGCGGGACCTGAGTTTGCAAAGCAGAGGAGGGAGCGGTTGTGAAGTGAAGCCAGCAGTAGAACAAAGGATGCTTTGCCGAAGAGGGAGGCACCTTCCACGAAGGCCTCCGGGCCTGGGGAAGTGACTCACTAGGCCCCCCGGGATGGACCCACCCATGAGGGGTTCTTTGGGGCTGAGCATGCAGCCCAGCTGCCCAGGCTCGGCCCCACGGGGTGGGGTAGGGATTGTCAGTCTCTGGGTGGGGCTTCCCCAGGTTCCCCCTCTCCCTCAGGGGGAGAGACCTGGTGTGCGTCCAGCCCCGGGGCTTTGGGTACTGCCGGGTGCTTCATTAGGCACTGCCAGGCGGGGCTGCTGCCACCGCGGCTGCTTGCAGCTGCCTGAGGCTGAAGGCGTGGTCCCTTCTCAACCCTCTTTCCGGTCCACCCAGCCTGGACCCGGGCTCTCCCACTCTCTGCAGAGCCATACTGCTTCCCTGATGGAACCAGGCATCGGTGTCACTCGAAGGTGGCGCCCGGCTCTGTCCCAAGGTTCCCGGGACGCCTGTGATGAGAACTTGAGAGCCCTCGCGGTACGCCCCGGCTTCTCGGGCAGTTGCACAATCTCCCCCCAATTATTCTCCCTATAGTGTGTGGCAACCGGGCGAGAATTCCAGGACCTTGTACTTACTCGTACAAATCTGCCTTCCTGCTGTTTGGCTGCAGGGCCGGGCGTGTCTCCGTGGGCCCCGGGAGATGGAGGCGTGGTCGCGTCCAAGAGGGCGTGGCCCGCGTCCGCAGCGCTAGCAGCAGCCCAGCCCTGCCCGGGCAGTCTGTGCGCACCAAACCGCAGCTTCTTCGGGAGCCCTGGATCCCGTCCAGGACACAGAGGAGGAAGCTCTGGTGACATTCTAGACACGGGCGTCGAGCCGCACGCTTGGCCCGCAGACGCTCCAGCTGTGGCTGGTGGAGCATCTCCGGCCCATCCAGCCAGGGATGCACACGCCTGGGTCCTCCCAGGGGCAGGGTGGTCTACTTGCTGCTCCAACGCAGCTGGCTCATCCTTGCAGCTCCCAAAGACTTTATCCTGGTTTGTGTTTTCCATCTGAGGAGGGTCCCAGGAGTCAGGCTCTGACGACCCAGCTGTTATTCCTCTGCCATGCCTCTGGGTCAAGGAAGAGCATTGTCCCTCACTGCCTGGGAGCCAACGGATGGCTGTCACGACTGGCTGTTCTGAGTAATGGAAATAAAGACAAAAATCCAAATGCAGCTGACCTCTGGCCCTTCTCCTTATGTGCTTTCCCGAGGTGTGTGGCTGCCTCATTCTCTGGGTCTCTCATTAGAATTTTAGAGAAGCTTCTTTGACTACGAGGTCTGAGAGATAGTTGGTTCTACATCAAAATTCAGGCATTTGGGGGGTAATCTGTGTTTGGTGTCATGACAAAATGGGAAACTATATATAGTTTTTTTTCTGGATACCTGCAGATCCTCCAATAAACAATTAAAAGTAAACATTTCTTGTGGATAAAAATAATGCCTTCTCTTAGTCCATAGGATATGTCATCATCCAAGCCCCTGCAGTGGCTGGCATAGGCTGGTTACACAAACGATTCTTGTCCTCCAGTGGTTGGGGAGATAAGGATCTTTGTAGGGAAGCAGGGACCATTTTAATAACCAAAGTCTGAAACCAGCAGCCACCTCTACCCGTTTTCCCGGGTCATGGTGGTTTGACTTACCACCCAAATAGCATCAATTCTATCTAACACATCCTTCTACTGCTAGGGGTAGGTGTGGCAGGGATAAAAACACAGCCAGACTTCTTTCTGGTGGAAAATAAACTACCAATCATCAGCCATGCCTGGACACCCACCTTCAAGAGTGCCTTTCTAGATTCTGAGGTATGAAGAGCTTACTGTGGGTCAGGCAGGAGCCCCACTTTCTCAGTTTTGAGGCTTGTGGGAATTGAGCTGCAATTCAGAGCTCCCAAGCCAGATCTGAGAATTAGCCTAAGATTGGGGGTGTGGGCTTCCCTGGGGCTGAGGGTTCCCTCCCTGAACTTAAGAGAATATCAGCTCAAATCTTGTTCCTGGCAGGAAGTTGCTCTCAGCTGCCACCAACACCTTTTTCTTTGTCTCCTTACTTGCAGGGCTACCTCCTAAGGTCTAGACATTATCAGAACTGCCAAGAATGCACCAGGAATGAGCTCCTACTAAAAAGAAATTCTGAAGAGAATGCTTCTCTGACTCTGGGCCCCAGTTAGTGAATTGAGTGGTTTTATCTAAATTACTGTTGTTACTGTATACTTTTCTCTAAGCAAGTGCCCTTGACCATCTTCCTCAGATCAGGGTGAGGTTATGAAAAAAAAGCAGGGAAACTGTCTTGGGCTTTATGTGGGCATTAGAGCTTTATCTTTGTAACTCCTTTATAGGTTTCCATGGATACTGACAACAAACCTTGTTTTGGTCTAATGTGAATTCTCACACTAATAAGGCAGGAGCTTCTTTTGACAAATATGCATGAAAATCATTCCTCTATTCTTAATTAATTTTAAGGACATCCATTTGTGGATAGTCTGACAACTTGTGGCAATGAATACAGTAAGATTTTACCCTATCTAGTAACCCAGAGTCTTTGAGGATAGATAATCTCAAATCAAAGCCCCCACTAGAGATGAGATGTCTGCAGAGGCCCCAAGTGCTCTTTCTACAAGGAGCCACTTCCTTTGGGTGGGTTTTGGGGGAGTAGAAAGAGGGCCATCTGTGCCCTCATCACACCTGAGACAAGACCACTTTATGGGTCTGCCTTGAGCTTTGTGACTAAACACCTTTTCCTGTCTCTTAAAATCAACTGAAATGGGCTGGGAGTGGTGACACACATCTGTAATCCCAGTGACTTGGTTACAGATTGTAAATTCAAAGTCAGCCTCAGCAATTTAGCAAGGTCCTAAGCAACTTAGCAAGACCCTGTATCAATAAATCAATCAATAAATCAGGGGCTGAGAATATGGCTCAGTAGTTAGGCACTTCTGGGTTTAATTTCCGGTACAAAAAAATAAAATCAACTAAATTTATGGCATCACATGGCCATATAACATTTCACAGAACACCATATCAGCTGAGATGTGAGGTTCAAGCTGCCCTCTCTGGCCGTTGGTTGTCCCTCTAGCTCTGTCCAGAGCTCTTTATTGTTTTGAAGTAAGTGCCTGCCTTCAACTGAAAATCCTCTGGCAGCTCCCATTTTTATATATTCTACCTCGTCACCTACTTAGATGCTCCAATATTGTGTCCTAGATTATCCTCCTGGTCCAGTGTAACTGTTTTGCTGTCTGTGGAGTCAAGGGGGGAGAACAGGGCCTGTCAGGATGGGGCCATCTTGGTAGACAGCATTCTCCAGGGAACAAAGGTCTGCCTCTTAGGCAGGGGACAGACTCTGCTGGGCTCAGTCAACTTCAAGTCTTCTCCTGAACAGAAGCTTAGTGGACAGTTTCCCTCAGTTCTCACATATACACTGTCTGCCATCTTTCCAAATGCATTAGTGGCTCTGTTCACACATACACATGCATGAAACCAACCTCGTGCAAAAGGCTCAGCACACCCAGTGGTTGGCAATGGTGGAAGATGGAGCCCAGGACTGGCGGTCTGGAAGAGGTGAAGGACGTCACTGCCTGAATGCCCTCACTCCCAGGGCTGTGGCAGGGTGTGTGCTAGGTGTTGAGGGCCCAGGCAGCTGCAAAGGGTCCAATCCTCAGCAGGTTGCTCCAAACAGGAAGCTTTGGGATTTGCACTTAGTATAGATACTCAAGGTCCTGTTTAGCGGCCAATCAAGTTCCAAGTAATCACCCAAGTTACAATACCTTCTTGTGGATTCCTTGGTAGACTGAAAACAAAGCACTAGAGCTGTGTGTAATTTATAAAATATCCTTTATTTAGTCTAAGGAACACAGTCAAGTAGTAGGTTTAAAAAAAAAAAACCACACATTTAAAAAAAGATATTATTAGTGTTGTGACCTATATTTGAGCCCATGTGAGGGGACAGTGGTAGAAGCTGCCTGCTATGGCTTTGCCTGATTCTCTGTGCTGGCATTAGCTTGATGGGAAACAGCATGGGCACAGTCCTGTCCAGTTGCTTACGTTCAAGAATAATTCATGAGTGAGGTTTGTGGAAGAGCAGAAGTTAACATTGATACTGCTGGTATTTCTTCAAAAGACTACTTTTAATCTATTCATTCCAGGAAGAGTAGAAATGCTTAAAGGAATGGATAATTTGTACTTACTGTTTATGGAGAGGAAGCATATTGGAATGATAGCAGTACTCTGGGAACATAGTATTTTCCTACAAATTCAGAAACTCCCCAGTTGATGTTAAATCATGCTTCATGGGCTGGGGGTGCAGATCAGTGGTAGAGTACTTGCCTGATATGCATGAGGCCTTGGGTTCAATTCCTAGCATCATATAAAATAATAAAGTTTCATAAACTCATACCTTTTGATTTTACTTAACTGGTAAAGAAATACAGAGTAACATTCTAATATGAGAGTTACTCTCCTCTCCCTTATTATTTTAAATGCACAGAATGTTTGAGAATGTTAAAGAATCTCAACCCCTCAGTACTCATGCTATTGTGCCAGAAAAATCCACGAACACACACTGAATTGAGCTGTTTTCACAAGACTTCCTTCCTAATAAACACAACACTTTCTCCTCCTCAGATGTGAGCCAAAATGCAGATGTGCCAACAGTAGGCGTGTTGCTAAGCAGAGGAGAAGCCTAGCAAGTTTGTCCAGCAAATTAGATTGTACAGTGGGATTCAGACAGGAAGCTGCTGGCCTCTGCTCCTGTGCTCCCAGGCAGGTCAAGTCTGGTGGACTTTATCAGGCATGTAAAAAGGTCCTCATGGGTTAGAACATAGGGGCTTTGAAGAAAAATGGGGCCGGTGGTACATATTCAGGCTCCTCCCCTTGGCTATTCAGATCCAGTTTGCTTAGGCAATCTGTAGTCCTCATGCTAGCTGCATGGTTCTGTCCCCCTGGCTGGCCTAAGCCATGGCCTGCCACCTTCTTATGTATGGAATTCTAAAGAGAATATCACCTCCAACCAAAAGACAGTGAGAGAGAAAATCCGAAACATTTAAGACTAGGTTCAAAAGCTCCCAGAAACCTTCTGCCTGCCTTTCCTTGTTTCCATCTGGTTAGGGGCTGTGAATCGGAATTCAGAATCTGTATTGCCCAGAGGGGACAGGCAGAAGCAGCGAAGAAATACCCAAATGCAATAAATAACATCAGGCTCAGGCCCCTGCCCCCGCCCCTCCCCCAGCTACTGCTGCTGGTTATTCCTGGATTTGAACTAAAGGACCCGAGGGAGGAATTCCACCCCCAGACCTCCCTGCACAACATCAAATGTGGGAACCCGGCTGCTGCTTCTGCACAGGATGGAGCCTCAGTCTTTTGCTTGATAGCATCATTTATGGCATGAACTAGAACGTAATGTGTTTACACAAACATGACAATTGTACATCAGCATCTTTACAATATTAAAGGAGTCATATACAAGTCTACAGGCATTATACACAGGGTAGTGCCAACGGGGGCACCCCACCCACCAGTTCTCTGCAGTTTCTCCCCTTGGGAGGAGCCAGCACATGGGGAAGTGTGACAAGGCCAGGGGTGTCCATCTTTGGGCCTGTATGGGAGGCAGCAGGTTGGGCCCTCTCAGGGCCAGTCCTCACTGGAACCTGGGGTCAAGAGCACTAAATATAC